TCTCAAGCTCTCACCCTAGGACCGTTTAGATAGTTTATTTACTTGCTTAATTCTTGTTTTAATTGCTTTCCTACGACTAGTATATTATAGTTCATAAAACATCAAAAATAATTTTCATTGAAAAGTATTTGGTAGAGATTAACTACAAAGGGGATTAGTAATTTTTACTTGAAGAGGCTTGGTTTTTAAGTGGCTCCTAGTAGCTCACCTCCCTCCAAAGTTCAATTTGTATACATAATCCTCCAAGTACTTAGTCTTAACCTTGCATAAAAAAATTGATTTTTCAACTTCTTTCTTTAAAAAGAATCTTTCACTTATAATGGAAGAATTTTCTACTCCTCATAGTGATACTAATTCAAGTGATAACAAGGATTTTGCTACATTATCACGTGAATTAAGATCACTCAAGTTATGGAAAGAGCAAGAATCTCAACAAAGACTTAGAGAAAAATTTGAAAGAGAAGCTCAAATTGCTCTTATGGAGGAGGAAATTCGTCTATTAAAGGAAAAAGACAAAAAGAAACATCATGGTCAACATAGTTCATACGCTCATAGTTCCACACTAGGAGAGTCAATGCATGATAGCCTAGCTTTAGGAGATCATTACCAACCACCTCCTAGGAGAACCCATAGGACCTCCAAGACAAGGGAATCTAGGGTAGATCTCCCTTATTTTCATGGAAAAGATGATGTGGAGGGGTATCTAGACTGGGAAATGAAAGTGGAACAAATATTCACTTGCCACCAAGTGAGTGAAGAAAGAAAAGTTTCCCTAGCCACCTTGAGCTTCCAAGGTCATGCCATGTATTGGTGGACCTCTCTTGTGAGAGATAGGCGTCTCCATAATGAACCTCCAATTCAATATTGGAATGAATTAAGGAGTGCCTTGAGGAGGAGGCATATTCCCTCTTACTACACTAGGGAGCTTATCAACAAGCTCCAAAGACTCCATCAAAACAATATGACTGTGGAAGAATATAGACAAAAGATGGAGTTGTACATAATGAGGGCTGGCATTAGGGAAGAGGAAAATATTACCATTGCTAGATTTTTGAGTGGTTTATCTTTTGAAATAAGAGATAAGGTTAAGCTTCTCCCTTATAGGAATTTGGATGATTTGGTTCAACTTTGCATTAAGGTTGAACAACAAAATTTAAGAAAAGGTTTTAAAACAAGCTCATACTCATCTTCTTTTTCTAAGGATAACTACAAGAGGGAGGGCAAAGAAAATAATTTTGAAAAGAAGACTACTTTTCCCTCCAAAAATCTAGACAAAGGTAAAGAAAAAGATAAAAAAAAAATAAACACCTCACACACTAGCATCCTCCTTCACACATTGTAAGACACTTTTGAGATATATGAAATTTGAGAGCATTTTCTGCCAAATTTCTCTTGAGAGTCACCGACAAAGAAACCTCACCTTTTAGGAACCCTAGCTAGAATTTCCTACCTTTTGAAGGGAGCTTTCCTTTGCTCCTTAAGCTTGGATGCTTCTATCCTAGACTTAGGCCTTTACTCATCCGAGAATCCTCCATTCAAGTCTCCATTTCATTCGGTTCCAAGCTCCTTTGAAGAAGATCCGTGACGGAGTATGTGCAACTTCCCACACCAAAACTAAGACAAAGGGTAAAAGCTACAAGGCATCAGATGAAGAGATCAAACGAAGCCAAAACCAGCACAAGAAGGAAAATAATGAAGCCTCAGATGATACAAGACCACAGACAATGGATATACACAAGACGAGAAGAAAAGTCAAAGTCTACCTCTCAAACTAAGACTTAAAGTCCAGAAGCAGATAAAGAATATTGAAAAACGTCTGAAGTCCACTAAGTCACAATGAGAAGTACTGCTTATCATCCACACTCTTAGAAGAATACATGAAGTCATCAAAAATAGAAGAAGAAAGAAGAAAAATGGACTAGCACGTATCCACAAGTCAAAGCTGCATGTGTCAGAGCAAGTACACCTACCATTTAGTAAAAGACAATGCCTTTGCAGCTACAATGCCAGGAAAAGTACAGATATACCTAGGTTATGATTGAAGTCAGACATAGAAGTGAACAAATGGTACAAAAGACTTCACGTAACACAGATTCGGCAAGCAAAACATTTAATGCAAAATCAAATGCATTAAATACAAGATCTACGAATCCTGGACGAACTAAACAAGGCTAAATCTAGAACAAGACTAGATCTGATCAAAAGAAAGAAGAACATTCAACAAACACTAGACGATGCCCACTACAATCGAAACCTTGAAGTATCAGACGAAAGGCCAAAATAAGGCTAAATCTAGAACAAAACAAAAATGGGTTAAACATTAGGAGAAGTCCATACAAACATTAGATGAAGCCCAATGGTCAAATCAGACAAAGATAAGTCAAGGCAAACCACAGCATGAAGATCATAAGAAGCAAAGTCGTATGATAGATGAAAGCCTACACAAGCGCCAGATGATAAATCAAATATCACACAAAGGCTGGTCAGAGAGCAAAAAGAAAGTCAACATCATATCAGACGAAGGACAACACAGACAGAAACAAAGACTGTCAATCTACAATGTTGACTAGACCAAAAGAGAGTCAAAGCATTAATTTCAAATGCTCAAACGACGATCACAAATTGAGATGCATAAGACTAAAAGACGCAGACAAAGACTTCCATGAAAGCATTTAAAGTATCAAGTCTCCAAGGACAACTCAGGCATCGTCTACGATCATATAAAAGCTCTCAACATGATAGCGTGATTAAAGGAAGAGAAGAAGAAGAAGAAAAGCATGCAAAAGTAAAAGCATGCATGTGTCAAAAAAAGTACATTACTTTTTCAGATAAAGACAATGTTCTACAGCTACGCGACCTGAAAAGGACAAAAAGGTTCCTAGGTCTTAGTAAAATTCAGACACAATAGCTAACAAACATAACAGGCTTCACACAATGTCTATAAATAAGTTATCTTCAAGGAAGGTGACTGGGTTTGGCTACACCTTAGGAAGGATAGGTTTCCTTCCCAAAGAAAGTCAAAACTTAGTCCTCGAGGGGATGGCCCTTTCCAAATCCTTAAGAAAATTAATAATAATGCCTATGTCCTAGATCTCCCTTCTGAGTATGGTGTTAGTTCTAGCTTCAATGTTTCTGATCTCTCTTTGTTTACAGGACTAGCTACCCAAGAGGAGGATGCTTTGGATTTGAGGACAAATCCTCTTCAAGAGGGAGGGGATGATGGAGGAGGCCCATGGGCTAAGGGCCCAACTACTAGGGCTATGGCAAGGAGGATTCATGAAGAGTGGGCCCAAGCCCAAGAGAAGCCCATTACTCTATTTTGTTGGGCTTTGACTCAAGCCTAAGTAGTATAGGGTAGTATAGGATTTGGGCCTTAGAGCCTTGTACTTTCTTTGGGCCTTGTATTTCCGGCCATGTAGTGTAGGATATACATTTAGAGGTCATGTGAATTTAGGGTTATTTAGGTTACATGTGAAGTTACATTAGCATGTAATTAGAAGCACATTTGGTGTGCATTTCGGCCATGTGCAACATATGCACATGGTGTGATCCGAAATGCAACTCAAATGGCTTCTTAATTACATACCAAATGAGCTAGCACATGGGTGATCCGGGTTTTGGCACCAAAATTTGAATTTTGAATTCAAATTTTGGGCGCCTAAGGTTAAGTGAACCTTACCTTGGTTCCACTTAACCTTAGACTAACCCAAGGTCACCTTAACCTAATTTTATCCTATAAATCACTATGGCCGAGACTTGTATGATACTTTTGGAAATTATATTGATGAGTTTTCTCTCTATAGAAACCTCTCCTCCGAAAGTCTCTTTTCCTATCTCTACCCTACTTGAGATCTTCTCCTTGTAGAGCTAGGAAACTCTTCCTTCTTCCGGACTTAGCTAGAGGTAAGTTAAGGTCACATTGGTGCTTCTTGGAGCTGCCATTCCTTGACATTCTTCCAAGGAACCGAGGAGCATTGAAGGACTCTTGAGGATTTCCAAGTGGAACCTCATCAGGCCTTCTTAGCCTTCTAGAGGCAAACATGTTGAAATGGTTTCACGGCCTAAGAGCCATCACTCACACACTCACTCATCTTCAAGTGAAGGGTTTTATAGTGGTCACCATGATGATGGCTACTATCAAAGACACTTTAGGCAACATAGGCCTAGGCATGAATCAAGATCTCTAAGAGAACCTAGAGTTGAACTTCCTCCCTTCCATGGTAAGGATAATGTAGATGATTATTTGGAAGATGAAGGTGGAACAACTCTTCACTTGCCACAATGCAAGTGAAGAGAGAAGAGTTCCCATGGCTACCCTAAGCATTCAAGGGTATGCCATGTATTGGTGGACTTTCCTTGAAAGGGAAAGAAGAACTCATCATAAGCCTCCAATTCAATATTGGAATGAGCTTAGAAGTACCTTAAGGAGAAGGCACATTCCTCCTTATTATGAAAGGGAGTTAATGCACAAGATCCAAAGACTCCAATAAAGAAACCAAAGTGTGGAGGAATATAGACAACAAATGGAGTTGCTTATGATGAAGGTCAGTATTAGGGAAGAAGAGACACTACTACAAGATGCATATTCTACATTGGTTCTATGAAGTTATCTACATCGGTTCTAAAACCGATGTAGAACTTAGCGACTTAGAAAATATATACATTTTTACATCGGTTTAAAAATCGATGTAGATTATACATAAATCTACATCGATTCTCCTGAGAACCGATGTAAATATATGCATAAATTTACATCAGTTCTCAAGAGAACCGATGTAGATTTATGCATAAATTTATAATTTTATATTCTTTCTAATTACCTGTAATGAATATATATATATATATATATTAGACAAAATACAATAATCTACACAAACAAATTATAATATACATGCTTATGTATAAATTTTAATGAAACAAATAAATATTTATGACACCTAGCAACAACATAACCATAAAAATGAAATGGAAATCCAAAGGTGATAGGAAAAATAATGCCAAATATGATAATCCCTACAATAATCTCCTTAATTATTTGAAAAATATTACACTAATATTCCTTAAACATTACATTAACTCTCTTAATTATCTGAAAAATATAACATTATGGTAAAGAGGTTCATGAAAACGTTACAAAAAAGAAAGGAGTTTTGGTGCAATTCTCGCTCTTGCTATAACTCCAAATTGTCCTAAGCCTCCAAGAACCACGTGGAATAACTCCAAGTTCTTCTGCGAAGAGCATGTTACTAACTCTCCTTTTCCTGAACCACACCAAGTAGATGACAAAAACTATTTATTTTAATTTAGATACATGCCTTCGTTAATTATAAGATGTAACATTTTCCATGTTGGCATTTCAGTCTTTTAATTATATGAATGAATTAATTGACCAAAAGTAAAAGACTAGACCAGCATAAAGTTAATCAATAATAGAAAACTATGACCGTGGACCTGGTTCTAATTCTAATCCCATGGAAACGTTTGCATCACTCACCCATATTGTAGAGAAAGACTATTATGTTTGAGTTCAATAACCATACTAATTAACTACGTATGAATAAAACATGTTATTAAAGAATTCAAATATGATAATATTTAGCAGAACATATACGACACACCGTGTCATGTCATAATAGAGAAAATGGAAACAGTAATTGTTGTGCATAAAGTGGTGGATAGATTAATACAGAAAACGGAAACAATAATTGTTGTGCATAAGTGGTGGGATATTGCTTATGAAAATTTACCTTTCTATTTTTTCAAGCTTCAACACAATGAACTCGTTCTCAAAGAAAATGAAGCAATAGAAACGCTCAAAGTTAAATACAATATCAAGTACTATTTCTAATTTTAGTTAGTAATAGTCGTGTGTGGATACAATTTATTAGAAGGTCTTGTAATTAACAACTTGTCTACTATAAAATAAAGAGTTTTTTTTGGCATATAGAAATTCTTCAAACTGTTTTTAGACTTGTATCTGAACATGTTCTAAGATGAAAATAGCAGCCAACAAGATGACATGTGAATTTTAATTAAAAATCGTTATGTATGAGAAACTTCTAAGAAATTTATAAGTGCATACTGGTGATGACATCCATTTCGTGAACGTTGCTGATTTGAGGACCATAACGGAAACTCTGGCCATTAATCCCAACATTGGAAAGTGTCCCTCCCACAGTCAAGTACAAATAATCAGTCCAAGAAACTAGTGCAAGTCACTAACATTAAATGAAATGTGCAGTATGTTTGTGCCAATAGCCATGTGGTAGATATACAAAATGACAATTCACCATAAAAAAAAATGACAATTTGATTTGGCATCACTATGAATTGGTGGAGGGAAATACAAGATAAAATTCTAGTCAATTATCTATAAACGTACTCTTTTAGGGGCTAGCTCAAGAGCAATTCTCGCTCTTGCTATAACTCCAAATTGTCCTAAGCCTCCAGGAATGCTGTCATAACAAAACATCACAATGAGAAAAGTATTTTTTATAATAATTACTTTAAAAATAATAATTGAAATAAATTTTAATCAATTAACTGTAAACATGAAGACCAGCCTCATTATGTTAAATTACATTTAGATCAACTAAATTTTGTTTGCCTACATCAATGTTTTGACAGGCAAAATTACACATTGAGAGTGGAGATATACAAGGAATTAGCAATCCCTTGCTGCGGAATGACTATGACCTACAATCAATATGGAAAATAGCAGAGAAAGCATTGATGTGTGTTCAGCCCCATGGGCATATGCGGCCATCAATTTCAAAAGTTTTAAAGGAGATCCAAGATGCAATATCTATAGAGAGACAGGTAGAATCATTAAGAGAAAGCAATTCAGATGATATGTCAAAAAATTCTTTTCATTCTTCCGTGAACTTAGGTTTGATGGATCTCGGTGGAGCTGAGAGTTACCTGTCTATTGATGAATCAATTACGCAGCTAACAGCAAGATATATCTCTCTTGTAAACAAAAGAAAGTTTTCATTTTTCCTTTTCCTCCCACCTGCGAGTCTGCTGGCACCTGCAATACGCCCCCTCCCATGCAGTGGTCAAGCAAGACGAGCTTCCTCAAGATGCCTTCCTCAAGCACATCGAGAACCCTACCTCCTGGCACACCACCATTTCCACCTTCCTCAAGACGCCGTCCTTGGGCACCTCTGCCACTGCCTCCTTCAACCTCGGAGGCCCCCGCTGCCGAAGGGGATGGCGTCGATTTTCTGGAAGAGATGAAGCACGCTTGAAAAACCTCTCAACCAAAGATGAAGGTCCGCACCATGAGGGTGGAGACCGGTGGCAGAGATAGGGCCTCCACCATTCTCTCCCGTAGCAAAACCTACGACTTTGAGCTCACATTTTCGGACAGCTCCTCCAAGAGCATTTGTAGATTTGGAGCACCACCACGTTTTAGGAGAGCTCCGGCCGTTTGTGGATTTGGAACACACTAACAACTGGGGTTTTTCGTGCTGTGTCAAGAGCAGAGAGGGATTTACATACAAGAGAGTGGGGCAAGTACATTTTGCATATACAAATTTTTTTATTAAAAAAATAATATATTTTTAAAAATAAAAATTATATTCTAATAATATATATATATTTAAATTATCATATGTATAAAATATAAATTAGAAGAATTGTTCATTTATTTAATATTTGTTAAATTTTTGAATAAAATTAATTTTCATACGTGATAAAAAAAATATTTCTTAATAATAAATTGAATTTTTTAAAAAAGTTTAATTATAATATATATATATATATATATTAATGCTCACATATATAATGTAATATAGTAATTCTTTCTATTTATTGTATATGATGATAAAAAAAATTAAAATAATAAAAATTGTAAAATTGTATACGTTAATTTAAAAAAATAAAATTGGAAAAATTAGAAGATTTATGTTCTATTTATAATTTTTATTATAAAATATGTTTTAAAATAAATTAATATCTAAAAATTTATATCACATATTAAAAACATGTTTATATCATAAATAAATTAAACTTGATTTTTATAAAATTTAACATATTTATTTTTATATTTTTATTAGTGTTAAATTATTATAAAGTAGGTCTTTAAAATTATAATTTTAACCAAATATTTAAAAAATGTCTATGATAGATAAATATGTCATATTTAGAACATGTATCTTTTAAAGAAAGTTAGGTTCAAACATATTAAATTATAATATAATATAGTCTAACATAATTTATTTTCATCCTTAATCGTAATTATAAATATAAAAACTTGTAAAAAATATTTATAAAATATATTTATACTTTTAAAAATTATATATAAATTTTTTAATATTACAAATATATGAATAAGTATTGTCCCCACTATCTAAAGTTTCTAGATCCATCACTGGTCAAGAGGGTTTAGTTGCATGTAATGAATGTTGCAAAAATTTGCCTTCACTTCTACATCGGTCAGATGTAAACCCGATGTACAATAATTTTGTGATTCCATTTCTACATCGGTCAGTGACAAAATCGATGTAGAATTTTTCAAATCTACACCGTTTCTCCACAAAATTGATATAAATATGTTTACATCTTTTATTTATTTACAAAATTGTCACCACCTTTCTTATTTACATCATTTTTATTAGAATCGATGTAGATATAACGATGTTAAACATTATTTTTCTAGTAGTGAGAGAACCACCATTACAAGGTTCAAAAGTGGTCTAAACATATAAATTAGGGACAAGGTTAAACTACTACCCTATAGAGACCTAAATAAACTAGTATTCAACTTTGTGTGAGGGTAGAACAACAACTTAGGAGAAATTCTAGCCTTAGGAAGGAATCTACCTCATACCCTAGGAAGGACTTCAAGAAGGAGGGTCACTCCTCCTATTCATCAAAGGATAGACCACTAGAAAAACAAAAGGAAAAAAAAAAAAAAACTTTCCAATGAACCTAGAACTAATTCCATTAAGTGTTTTAAGTGTTTAGGAAGGGGACATATCGCTTCCCAATGCCCCACAAAAAAAACCATGATCATTTGGGGCAATGAAAGCCTAAGTGAGGAAAACACTTCATCTTCTTCATCATCCTCAAGTGAAGAAGATGCTAACCTTAGTTCTAGTGAGGAAGCACCATGTGGTGGTGACCTATTGGTTGTCCAAAGGTTACTTACCAACCAACCCAATGAACAAAACCAATCACCAAGAGAGATCCTTTTCCATTCTAGATGCAAAAATTTTAAGAAAACTTGTTCTCTCATTGTTGATAGCGGATCTTGTAATAACTTTGTAAGCCAAAGGTTGGTTGATAAACTTAACCTAACTACTATAGCCCATCCTAAATCTTATAAACTTCAATGACTTAATGAGGATGGACCTATAGAAGTTAAGGACCAAGTAAATATTTATTTCTTCATTGGAAAATATAAAGATGAAATTTTATGTGATGTAATTGCAATGGATGCAAGCCACATTTTACTTGGAAGGCCTTGGCAACATGATAGGAAGGACATTCATCCTGGTGTTACAAGCAAAATTCGCCTAGTCCACCTAGGCAAGAAACATACCTTGACTCCTCTTTCACCTTCACAAGTGTTGGAGGATCAAGTATTTATGAAATATAAAAAATATAAAAAAGGAGGAGAAAGAGAAGGTTCAAGAGTTGGAAGGTAGTGTCTCGTCCAAGGAAGTTGTTCCTAAAAGTCAAGTTTCAATAAATAAAATTCTATTAAAAAATGTCTTCTAGTTGAACAACCTCCTTACCTTCTCAATACTAAAAAGACACAACTCATGGAAAAGAGTAAGGAGGATAGTGTCTCCTCCAAAAATATTGTGATAAAGGAAAGTCACTTTTCTATTAAAAATGATTGTAAAAAGACTTTTCTTCTTCGCAAAGATTTTAGCTTTTTTTCTACTGCTGCCTCAAACTTAGAGCTTAAGATCCACAACCTAAATATTTTTTAAAAGAAAGGATCTCAAGTTCTTATTCTAGTGAAGAAGAAGTGGACTTCACCTAGTTCTAATTCTTATGCTACTACTTTGGTGGTGCCCAAAGTAGTCAGCCATTGTCTATTTAGGACTTCTTCTACTTTAGTTGTTCTAATAAAACACCCAACCTTTGGTTTATATTGCTTATTAAATACATTTCATGGTGTAATATTTTCTATTTTTGATCTTAAGGGAAGTTCAAACTTCTTTGAACTTAACTTGACTACTTCCCTTCAAGACCAAATTAGATTATATGACTCTTTTAAAATCTTTACACCCTCTTCAATGTTGTATCTAACAAATAATATGATCAAGGGTTGTCTAGGTAGTTTCGATATTATATTCACTTTGTTTTCTTGTAGGCTGCTAGGTTACTACATAGGGTACTTCAGGCAAGATACCTTAGTATGTAGGAGTACTTCATTAGTTTATTATAGTTTTAGTACTTTGACCATTTTAGGATTTAGTTTTACACTATAGCGAGGATCCTATTCTTATTTTTAGAGAACCCATCCTTCCTAGTCTAAGGACCCTTGTTAGGACTTTAGAAGGAATTCCTCATATGGTGCACTTTCCACATGTATTATATGAATATATCATTCATAATGCTTTGTTTCTTGTTTTTGTAGGTGATGTTATCCTGGTAGAAGGACCACTGGATTTGAGGAAAAATCCTTTCGAAGGGGGAGGGTATGAAGGAAATATAAACCCCAAAGAACCCTTTGGAAGAGGTAAGACCAAGAAGGGTGAAGGTTGATCCAAGGAGGCTCACACTTAAAGACCATTGGGCCTTCAACTAGGTCCATGGTTAGGAGGCTAGACGAGGCTTTTATAGAGGAGATGCTTATTAGACCTATGCTCTTCATGAGCATTGAGTATGATTCCTCTTTTTAGTCCCTTAGTTTCCATTGTATATACCTTGAAAGATACTTGTACATAGTAGTTATTTGTATAGGTGTATTTTGTCTTTGTATTTGTGAGGCACTTTCTTTCTTTTATTATAGGTTAACCTTTAGGATTTTAGGGTTTGTTACTTGGACACTTTTTCTCCATTTGACCTTGTATTAAGGATCATTCATTTTCATAGTTTTAGTAGTAGAAATGGGGTGACAAATAGCAAGGTGTGTAGGTACAACTAGTAATTGGGCCAGAATTGGGCATAGGCCAAATTTTACATATTGGGCTCATTTTCCTCCATATTTTCCATGGTATTGATTTATCTAAGTCTCACCATCATTCAGTGAACCTAACTAAACCAACTCCAAGTTTTTGGATTCGATTAAATATGGAAATTAAAGTCTTGGCCGCCTAGCCTAGTTTCTTTGGCCGAATTTCTTGGCTTGCTTTGCACACTTGGGAAGCTTGTGCTACAAGCTTCTAACTTAGCTTGCTTCCCAAGCTTCTATGTTAGAAGCTTGCTCCACAAGCCTCCTAAACCAACTAGTCCGGTCAAAGCTAACCATGGTTCTCTTGAACCATAGTTAGCCTAGCTTGCACCACAAGTTTCCCCACTCTATCTAAACCTTTTTCTTACCTTTATAATCACTTTTTGATCATATATTGAGTGAATTCCAAAATTGTTCAGAAATTCTCTCTTCTAAAGTCTCCAACCTCTTTCATATTTATCCAATTCTCTTATCCTCTCAAACAAGAGTGTGGTGGGGATTGAAGTGGTTTATCTCTTCCAAGGAGTGGTGCCTCTTGAAGAGTGTTCTTCACCAAACCTTAGTGAAATCCAAAGCTTCTCCTCCATCGGAAGCTTTGGAAAAGCTTGAGAAGAATCAAGGAGTCAAAGGTCTAAGGAGAAACTTGAAGAGGAATCAACATCAATCTGATTCCAAAGCAAGTTTCCATCATGACATTTATTGTATTTGCAAGTCATAATTAATCAAGATATATCTAAACAAAATAAATACATTTACAATTAACCTCAAGATATAACAAGGTTTATACAACACATCTCATCATTCATCAAGTTCCTAAACTATATGTATTTTGCGCTAGTAAAGTCACTTATCATGACCCTAAGGTTGAGTAGCCTAAGAGGACATGTTGGGTCACAACCATCACAACACTCTATACTAGGAGAAGATATACTAGTGGCGCGTCGAGATAGCTATGTTGACCAAGTTTCACCCCATGCACACACAATGGATGAAATTAAGGCTCTCAATTTTAGTTATTCCCAAGATTATGAATCCTCGAGTTTTTACACAAGGGGACTTTTCCCTGACAATATATTTCATATTGTACGCATCACAAAAACACATCATGAAAATGATTCATGTCATACAAGACTCGATATATATTCATATCAAGCATATTCATCACATGATGAATTAAAATGTCATAACAATCACATCTTGGCTAGGAAGTTTTGTCTAGACCTTTACACCATTATATTAGACTTAAAATTTACACCATATGACCATCATATGGTCCACACACAACACGCTACATTATTATCACACACACAAGCACATCATGTATACCTTAATTAGCAAGTCTTGAAAGATCA